TTTGAACCATAAACCGCATAAACATTTCATTACACCAAATACTCAAAATAATGTTCTTTTTAGCAACATCACATGACCCCTTTAATACGCAGGAATCCCGACATTAAACAAATAACCATTTAAATGCTTAGGATGTTTGCATTGTAAGAACGCACAGGGATACTTCAGATGTAAAGATGCTGACTCGTTAGGTGATGTTTTCTCATTAAAATCATACGATTTTCTATTAATTCAGTAGAAAGTATGGGAATACTAGGGAATACCAATATGGTGGCATAGTGGCTTCACTTTTATGACGTCATGAGCAATCCAGTTTTCTATTATAGATCAGTGGTTACAACCCTTTTAGTTAAAAATAAAAATACCATTCCAACTTACCGGATCTCAAAAAGAGGGTCTTCTCTGATCTTGGCAGCCATATCATTAGTAGAGACAGAACTTGTAGGGTTAAATATGGAACCAGGCAGGAGGCCTGTCTCAGCTGATGGTCCACTCTCATGTTCCTCATACTGCTGTGTGATCTGCTTGTCGATGGGGCGACCAAGAAGGTATTCCTCACGAGAGATCTGTCCTGCTGGACCCTGGTACATCCAGTCCAATCGGTCATCTTTCTTTCTGCAATATTGAGAAATCTGATATTACATTATAGGCGTAAACCTGTAAGCCTGTTATTATAACTAAATCCAATTATACGTTATGTGTTATAATGAACTTCTTTCATGAAAAACTTTGTGCTGGGATTGACTGTGAAAACTGAGAGAATGTGTCTGAGTGTCACACACTTTACAGCGCCTGTCTCTTGCGCATATCTGGTAATCTCTTCTCGGGCTCGCTCCTCTTTAAGCTCCTTCTGCAACTCCTCAATCTTCTTTCTCTCCGCCTCATGTTTCTGTTCTGCTTTCCACACTCGCTCGATGTTTTTAAGAGTTTGCGGATGCCAGCTCTTTTTCAAGTTCTGGTGGTATTTGTGGAGATAATTCAAATTTCAGAAAAAAAACAGATGTGTAGTTAATCACTTTTAATGAAAGGCCTGGATTCTTGGGGAAAAAAGATGTGGAGATAATCACTTTTATTAAATGACTTATTGGTTGCTTAGTTGAGGACACTTAATATTTGTCAATATTATCAACTCTATCGCACAGACACTATTGGATTCTCATCCAATAGTGTTTGTGCGATAGAGTTGATCATATTACTGAACTGAGCTGGATGTTGGCATCACTGAATCAACGATGAACTGACTTCAACTGAAACATTGCCTGTTTACTATTGTCCTGTTATTATTGTCCTATTGTGGTTGCTTAGTTGAGGACACTTAATATTTGTCAATATTATCAACTCTATCGCACAGACACTATTGGATTCTCATCCAATAGTGTTTGTGCGATAGAGTTGATCATATTACTGAACTGAGCTGGATGTTGGCATCACTGAATCAACGATGAACTGACTTTAACTGAAAAATTGCCTGTTTACTATTGTCCTATTAAGCTGCTTTCCAGCAGAATTTTGTTTGCATTACTGAAACATCCTGCGTAACACGGTAAAGCTGCTTTGATTTGTATTATATAAAGCGCTATATAAATAAAGGTCATGACTTGACTTCGTAACTGTTGAGTCTGTTTTATTTACGGCCAGTGAGTGAAATTGGTACGTTTTCATAAACAAGCTAAACTAGGCCACAACGTTTATCATTAGCAACTGCGCTACTACAAAAAAAAAAAAAAAAACTTAAAACAAAATTGTACTTACAAGGTCACCACCTCCCATGTTGTTGAGGCCGTACTAACAATGTTATAACGTGTTAGAAATTATTATTTCAAACACCCAACCCAAAATCTGCTGGCGTGCATTTACACTTTCTTACGCCGGAACGTACTTCCGTCCTTCTTTCGATTTGATTGGCTTTTGTCAACCAGCTTGAAGGTGCATTACTGCCACCTGCCGGGCTGGAGTGCTGAACAATACTGTAGATTAGTCAGGAAAAAGTAAGTAAATCAATATTAATAGACAATTAATTAAATGTATTTAAATGCCTCATGATTTAAAGTATTTAATTATAATATTTAGATGAGCTTTTCTTTAATTCTGCTGTCATTTCCTTTATTTCCTCCTCATAGCTCCTATACATTCCAAAAGTGCATGCTGCACCGATTTCACAGTGATTGACCAGTGTGCAAACCTACCAGTTTGGTGTTTACCTGTTTTGTGAAGTATCTCCAGTTTGCCCTATCCTTAAACATGCAATTACTCTTCTTTTCAGTTTCTGCCTTGATATTATGTAAATATCTACCTGTATCTTTTACGTCCCAGCATTCTTGCCATTTTTCACCATTTGTCTCTTTATAATTGTTTCCCCCTCAGCTTTAGTGTTTATTAACGGATTATTTTCCTGATTCTCCTCTCAGTGCTGTCAAATAGGGGAGACTGGGGATGAAAGTAACACTTTTTCTGTGAGCATCAGTAACTAGTGTTTTTTTGTGCTAGATCTTTTAAACTTTGATAAATGGTAGCCACATTTGGCAAATATAGCAACATTTGGCTCTACAAATAAAACTCACTTGGATGCAGTGGTGGACAGTAACGGAGTAGTTTTACTTCGTTACTGTACTTAAGTAAATTTTTCAAGTATCTGTACTTTACTGGAGTAATTTTATTTTGAGTAACTTTTACTTTTACTTCACTACTTTTCATAAAACATATCGTTACTCCCCAGCAAGCAATTTTGCGTTTAAAAGACGTCTATTAGACGTGTAGGCTAAAACGAGGCTAAATTTGGGCTGTCAGTGAAAATCTAATAGACGTCTAATCATAGCCCATTTATAGACTAGTCATCAATTAGACAGCTATTAAACGACTACATATATACATCTAATAGACAACAAAATGGCAATCCATACATACAGCTTTTATTAAGAAAAATAACATTTTTAACAACTTGGACAACTTAAGACAATACAAAATGATAAAAATACTAAAGAATTAATGACAAAATAAAATTTTATAAATACAATACACTTAAATATAAATATTATGATAAAAAAAATCTGGAGTTTTTAACAACTTAAGATAATAAAAATATAAAAATGAGAAAACTCCGCCTACTTTGCTCTGGCCAGTTTAGCGCAAATCGTTTTGTATCTGAAGGGCTGCGCTGAACCCACCAGCAAGCAATAGCCATCATTTCAACGTCTCGGTGAAGTATAGACCCGATATAGTCCGGCTATGTGTAACCCACTTCTAGCCCAAA